AGTTTAAAATCCCCTAAATGAAAATTGGTGCACAAAGACATCAAATATTATTAAAGAAATGGCAAGATGAATATTGTAATGGCCATTTTGTATCTGTAAATGTGATTTCTAGCTCATTTTAACTGCTATACTAAAACCTCATGGTACAGTCAATAGTATTATGTGCTATTATAAATAAAAAGAAAATATCCTCAAACATAATTTCTAATTTACAAGCTTATGACAAGTTCATGGTCCTGAGCAATTGGACTTGATTGTCTTAGAATGATAGAAGGCCACTATTAACACTATCATAATTGTATACCTATTGCATCAAATCTGACATTTCAGTTTAATATATTTTGCTGAGTAGGCACACTATTTTATGGCTTCCTAGTGAAATAAAAACTAACCCAGATGTTTTCACTTTTCAAATATAATTCACTGCAAGGTTTTAAAACTGCCATCTCTTTTCTTCCATTTTTCTAAAAGATTGGTGCCCTGGCATTCGTTTATTCCACAAGAGCTTATAATGGGTCAATGAGTCAGTAGTGAACACCTCCATTAACTGTATTAATTTACACTATGTCACCTTAATGTCATTTTGTGGCAGCTACCTTTTCTGACATCTACATAGCTATTCAAACGTAATATAACAACTATTGAATGCATTAAGGAAAATTATATAAGAACTTCACCAAGTTGAATGTCACTTTTATCAAGACTATACCAGAGAAATAAAAGATATAAAGTAAAAACCAACTGGTCTGTTTAACTCTGCAAACCTCTCTCCTGAGAGGCTACTTCACCAACAGTCCTTCTCTGCCCAGCTTGTATTCATTACCACCAGAAGACTGACATTAATAATGAGAGACAGAATAAAACCATCGACTTTGCTCCAGTTATCTCTTATGTGATTGTCTAAGTAGATATTGTAGAGATACTTTTCTTTAAAAATGAAAAATCATTTCTTTACAATTATATCACATAGCTGTTTAGTTTTACAGCTTAGAGATAAAAAATAGAAAGCTTATCAAAAAATAGTTAATAAAACTATCATTGCTCTTGGTAACATATTCTTTCCTGCTAAATATGGTATTATTTTAGGGGGAAATATTTACACTTTAATCAATATATTTAAATATGAACTTATAAAATTTCAAAGTACCATCAGTATTACAAATTTTTTCTAACATTCTCTTAATGAGAAACCCAAAATTCTTAAGGGTTTATATATTTGAACACAAATACACACACACACACACACACACACACAAACACATACACAACAACAACAACAACAACAACCTAAACATAATTGAAATATTGTAATACTAAAGGCCTGGTGCACAAAATTTGTGTACAGATAGGGTCCCCTAGGCCTGGCTGGTGATCAAGGCTGAACAGGTTCCCTGCCTCTCCACCGCCCCACCTCCTCCTTCCCTCAGGCCCTCAGCACCCTGCCACCACCGCTGGTTGCCTGCCATGTTCTGTGCCAATCCTTGGTGGTCAGTGCATATCATAGCAAATGAGCAAACTCTCGTTCTTCTGTTGAACTCCCAAGGGGACAGTTTGCATATTAGCCTTTTATTGTTTAGACGAGAGGTCCAATGCACAAAATTTGTGCAAGGGACTCAGCCCCACCGCCACAGCGGCTGCCTTTGCCTCAGATTTCGCCGCCTGAGCTTCGTCTATGGACATCCAGTCTAATTAGCATATTGTGATTTTGTTATTATAGATAACAAAGCTGAAAGACTGAAAAGTCATATTTACAATGCAACTTTTTGCAATTTCATGGATCTTTTTTAAATCAATAAAAAATGAGATATGACTTGGCTGAAAATTGGCAAAAAATATGAGCAAGTTTACAGGTCAATAAATATATGAGGAATGCACAACTTAACTCATAATTAATGAAATGCAAGCCAAAACAAAGACAACTCCATTTTTACTTACCAGATTAGCCAAAGTTATGCTGTTTATTAATAATAGCAGTGATGGGAGCATGGGTAATGAGACATCCACACACTGTTGTATGGAGTAAGTTATCATCTTTGGGAACCATTGTCTGGCAATATCTTTCAAAATTAATAATGTATATATAGTCTTTGAACCACCAGTCCCAATAACAGAAATCATTCTTTATATGGATACAAAAAGTTTATCAAGATGTCTATATAAGAATGTTTACTGTAACTTGTGTTTAATAGAAACAATCAGAGTTACAAAGACAAACAATCCACCAATGAGATTATGAAAATAAATTATTGTATTGTATGCATTGTGCAGCCTTTAAAAAGTGACTACATGGAAATATTTCAAGATACATTATCATGAAACTTAAAAGGTTTAGGGTGGCAGCAAAGAACAAAAAAGACAGCAATCCATGTCATGCTGAGCTGGGGAAATGCACTTCCCATGAACTAATGAAGTCGGGGAGTAGAGGGATGCTACCTGTTTGTACTCATGGGTTACTTGAGAATAAAAAATAAAACACCTCCCATATTAGCAAAGCACTGTTGGTCTTTATCCTTGATGATGTCACCCTAGGAGTCAAAGATCATAATAACAAAATGTAAATGTTTCTGAAAAATTTCAGAACATGTAAGAATTCTCTCAGCACTTTTAGAGGGAAAAAGTCTAGTATAGGTATTGATCATCAGAGACTGACATGCAACTTGATGAGATATTTGGTGATCAAAAGCATCAATAAAGTGCTCAAGATAGAAAGTAAAGCCTAAAATTCTATATACATACATAAATTAGAATGATTAACTGGTGTTTGTGTGGGCTTGTGAGGGTAAATCTTTGAATTAAGTTGTAAAGCCAAGTCTCTCTCTCTCTCTCTCTCTCTCTCTCTCTCTCTCTCTCTCTCTCTCTCTCTCTCTCTCTCTCTCTCTCTCTCTTCTCTCTGTCATCAAATAGAAATGGACAGGCATTTTTAGTTAAGAGTTTGCCACCATAAGGTATATGGTTACAAAACTCTGAATTAAGATATGCATAGTCTTACCTAGAATAGGAAGTCTTAAAATATAGGTAAGAATGTTTTACTCCCATGTAACATATTTATTGAATGTTTTTTATGAACACTGCAAATTCTAGAATCCTATGGACTCTCCATTTTCTTTTAATGCTCAAAATGTTATTAAATATTAAACAAACTCTCTCCCTGATTTTACTGGTCTTAGATCAGTTTAAATGATTATTTTTTTAGTTTAATTTCTCAGTAAAGTTATAACTCTGTTAAAAGGACAATGTGGGCCTTAAGAGTTTAACTTAGTAAGGATACATGTTAAATTATTTATTTCCAAGTGTGAATATGTTGTGGGTATAAATTAACATTCACTATGCAAACTAATAGAACTGAACAAAAGTTGTTCCCATCCACTTTTCTTATAGTACAGTAACACTATAATTGCCTTTTTAAAATGTTTGCAATAGATAAGTATAAGTAAGAAAATTACAATTTTGACTTTAATTCAATGCTTTTATTGGATTAAGACCCTAAATGGAATGATATTATAACATTTTTATATCATGTATGATGACAGTAATGGGGAAAAATCTGCCTTAAAGTAAAAAGGCTTAAAATAAGAAACGCATATACCAGTGCAATAACCTGGTCATTTAATTTTATTATCAGAGGGGAGGAGGAAATAAGAAAAATTGGAGAACAAATGTATTTTATTGTTTTGAATATAACCATTTTTTAAACAAAAGTCCATATAATGAGTAATAAATCTTTATATTTAACAATAGTTAAGCAGTATAAACTGTAAAATTGTTCTCTCTCCCTATTCCTACATATCTTGTGTGTTGGTTTAATCTAATGTGTATTGTTGCAAGTGTCCCCAGGCACAGTCAAGTAAAAGCTAAGGCTGTACAGAAGAGCCTACATTTTAAATGGGTCTTGTCATTAATGCTTTATTAATTGCCCCAGGCTACATAAACCCAATGCAGGGCAAGCTATAACAATATGACACATTAAGGACAAATCCAATTCCTGCTGTGTTTTATGGAATGGGCCGAAAATTGAGTTAACAGCAGTAAAGTCAATTTATGGGTTTTTCTTTCCACCTCCAGATTATTCTATCTAAATTAGTAGGAATTTTTTGAAATAATGAAAGTACTTTAACTGAATAATATAAAAAAATCCTGAATCATTTTCTATAAACTTCAAAATTATTTCCTTTAGTTTCCTATTGGGATAGATGTACCACATAATTTAAAAATATGATGAAACAAAGCTGCAGTATATAATGCCTTATATGCCCTCTTAAATTTAAAAATTCAAATTTCAGCATATTTTTAAAGTATTTTTTATCCTTACCTGAGTGCCTATTGTACACTCTCGGACCAGGGATGGAATTCACAACCTAAGTATGTGCCCTTACCACAAGAATCTAACCAGCAATAAACTTTTGGTGTACTGGATGACACTCCAACCAACTGAGCCACCTGGATAGGACTCAACATATGTATAACTTAAATTAACATCCTATACATCTATATAATAAAAGCTTAGGTGGTGTCCTGCCCTTATGCGACGTCATCACAAGTCCACCACAAGATGGCCACACAGGGGCCCGGAGGCTGCTCTACACAGTGAGGCCTGGGGACCCTGTGGCTTTGCACAGTGTGAAGGAGGCTGGGCCCATCATCTCCGCTGCCTCGTGTGAAGGAGGCTGATAGACCAATATGGGAGGGCAGTTGGGGGGGCATTAGCCACAGCAGGGGAGGGCAGTTGTGGGTGATTGGGCCAGCAGGGGAGGGCAGTATGGGACAATCAGGCCAGCAGGGGAGCAGTTAGGGGCAATCAGGCAGGCAGGCAGGTGAACAGTTAGGGAGCTAGGTCCTGGATTGTGAGAGGGATGACCGACTGCTGGTTTAGGCTCGATCCTGTGGGACATCCCCAGAGGGTCCCAGACTGAAGAGGGTGCAGGCTGGGTTGAGGGACACCTCCAACCCCCGTGCGTGACTTTCAAATGCCAGGCCTCTAGTCAACATATAAAAGAGCCTACCTTTACATCAGAAGTATCTCTTTGACTAGTTCTCCAAGACCTTGCAACTGATGAGAAGGTTCGATTTGGATGGTCAAATTTTCCATCATTTGCATTGAGGAAGAAGGTTGTGAAAGGTTCCTAAGCAAAAAGAAAATGAAAAAGACAAAAGACATGATTTTTTACAATACAGCTTGTATTGGAAATACAATACAATACCTCTGAATACAGCTTCCCTCAGTCCTTTGTAAAATATGACTCTCTTTTCTTTTTTTCTGTTATTCCTCATCTGGGGATATTTTTTCATTGACTTTCTAGAGAGAGTGGAAGTAAGGGAGTAAGAGAGAGAGAGAGAAATATTTATTGGTTGCCTCCAGCACATGCTCTTTCCATGGATGGTTGGGGATCAAACTGCAACCTAGCTATGTGCCTTTGACCAGAAATCAAACTGGAGACTCTTCAGCTTGCAGGCCAATGCTCCAACCCACTGAGCCACCCCTACCAGGGCTAACTATGACTTTCTTTGAAACCCTCTTGAGATGGAAACAGTGTAGGATCCTGAGAAGATGACCACACCAAGGAATCAGCAAGGTGCTGGTCTGGGCCTGACTAGGTCAGTCAACGCCACTCTGCAACCTTGATAGGTCATTTTGCCTCTTGGGTTTCAGCCTTCTGATCTATAAAATGATGGTGCTCTGTGATTTTATGTGATTTTGCACTACTGGCCATTTACAACCCAGATTTTCTTCCTCACAGTTAAGGTCATACGTAGTAACACTGCAATAAGAAAATCATCCTGACACTTGTTCGTGGCAATATGGAATTAAGTAGGAAACATCCATCTTTGATTACCCATCAAAATCGATTAATATACTCCTACGACATTATGGTCTGATGATCATTTTAAAATACAAATCCCTGCTTGAAGTTCTCTCATATCTTTTCACAGCTCTTCAGAGAAACTATAAACTACTTAATTGTTCTTCTAGTTTTCTGTGACATGTTTACAATGACAGTATCTGTCACCCAAGACATGTTTACATAGTTGGAAACCAAAAAATAACTTTATCGTAAGGTCCTAATGTATTTAATACTAATAATTTTTCTATAGTTGTGTTGGGAGAGAGGCATTATTGCTGATGTCATTAAATTTGCCTCCAAATTTAAAGGGATTAAATAATTTTCATTCTTACTAAGGATTTCTTAGTATCTATAATGAAGATAAATTTATATTTCTTTTTTCATGGTTCAATTATTTACTCAAGCCTAGGATTAATGATGTCACTTCTAGGTTCAATAATGCTAAGAAATCTTTCCTAAATATTTAGGGTGTTGTTTTTTTTAAATATATGCTAGTAATCTCTCCATTCTTCTATAACCATAAAATATTATTTGGCCCCTTTCAAAATATTAATTTTTGAAATAAATTAAATTCTTTATTGTTATTAGCCATAAAGTCTAACTGTCTGGCAACAACTACAAATATTCATCTTCTTCAGTACCTTCCTAGTGTGCTTAGATGCCATCAATTTTATAAATTTGTAATGTATCACCACTATTTCATGTTCACTATGGAATGACAGAAAAATATTATAAAGAAGAAAAGATGTAGAATGATAGATATAACAATGTATAGGTAAAGGGGGTAAAAAATTAGATATGCATCCTGGAATTCCATATTATTGTTTAAGATTTTAAGTGATATGAGAGAGAAATGGCAAAATTAACTTACAATAAAATTATGAATTTCTTTCACTAATTGATTTGCTTTTTAGAGTTTTAACTCACTATTAAATACAAGGTAGTTAATGCAGTGTATTGTATCATTAAACTAAAGTGAGAATATTAAAATTCTATAAATAGCAATGGTAAATTGAACAAAATGTGAGAAATCTAAGTTTGAATCCCGTAGAACCATTTACCTCTCTTAGACAAGTTACTTAATCTCAAGTAATTGTATTAAGCATCATGGTTCCTTCATCAGTATTATCAAGGAACGATATTTTTTTTTACCTTGGGGGTAATTAAATAAGATTAAATAATATTGAGAAAGCTTCACGTATCTTACCTGAGAGAGTTATAAAATGACTACCAGCTTCCTGTACTCTGTCAAGTATTCACTGCTGGGCTCAGCCCCAGAATGCCTATTCCCTGGACAACTCTTCCAGACTCGGATTTTTAGTTCCTTGGGTCTTATTCATCTTTGAATCCTTAGTTCCCAGCACAATACTTGGCTTATAGTTAGTGTCAAATATATGTTTATTGAACACAGCTAAACAAAGATAGTGTTGAAAGATGGGGTATGGTTGGGTAAGAATAAGATATAGTTTTCCTTGTTAGTTCTTACTCACTAGTTTAACAAAAAGTTGTATATTGATAATCCACTTCGTTATTTTAGGATGCTGATTTTAATTTTTTTTATTTTTTCCCCTTTAGATAGTAGACAGAGATTAGTCTAGAGGGGTCACACTTAGTTCAGTGATATTTTAAAAATATATTTTTATTGATTTCAGAGAGAAAAGGAGATAGATAAAAATATCAATGATGAGAGAGAGAATTACTGATCGGCTGCCTCCTGCACATGTTCTATTTCGGGATCAAGCCTGCAACTCGAGGATATGCTCTGATCTGGAATCTAACTAGTGCTAGTAATCGCTGGGTTCCTGGGTCAACATTCCACCACTGACATAACCCATTAAATAGTTGTGAGCAAAGTCCCATTTATACATGTAAAGCCTTACTTCTTATCATCAACGGTTAAAAGCTGATCTCTACCACAGTCTCAATGATCCTTCCAGGTTTTTAAACCTTAACTAACACCTGCCAAGAATAGTACAGATGGCATAGTGAAAAGAAATCAGAAATTGAAGAATTATTTTTATTTTTAGTTTTGAAGTTTATGAATCTAGTGGCTCTTAGATTCATAAAAGCAGAGAACACTAAAGAATTCTATGTTTCATTGCTTTAAGTAGCTTTTAAGAAGATTTGATTAACAGCTGTTTTAGGGTCACAGACTACATGACATATCATGCTCATTATTCCTAAAGGCCTCCAGCTGCTACACTGGTTGAGTGTACACTAATAGAAATTGATAACCTATTTGTTTAAGAGTGAGTATTGATTTTTCAAGCTCTGATTGCCAGGGAGAACCTTTATCCATGTGTTTCCCTATTACCTTCCTAGCACACTGTAAGGCTTTTCTTTTTTATTTGACTCATGCTTAACTAAGATAGAGAAATGCTATAAAAATGCTATAAAAATGCTGTATTAAGCTTAAGGAACTTTTTTCTTCTTTGTCTAACATATTCTGATTGAACTATTTTCTAGATATTTTGTTATTACACTAAAAACTTCTTTTGGCTTAGAAAATCAAATGTACAAATAAATGAATATTGAATAGAAATTTCAGATATTAAAATATTGGCACGTTTGGCTTTAAAAACTTTAGGTTAATCCTGTAATATCAATGGCTGAAGGCAGACTTCCTTTTAATACATTCACCCCAAGTTCATTTCATATCTTCCAAACCTTTTTCAGTGCTGCAAAATAAAATTAACCTTTTTTTTGTACTGATAAGTACCTGTCCTACTGAATTCTATTATAACCTTTAATCACCTGCAAAGACTAACAGCTTTCCTGCCTTTCAGAGGTTACAGACCATAATTTCATCGGAAGCCATTTTACTCTGTTCCCTGCTCCTTTTCTCTTTAGCCAACTTTCATATTCTTTTCACTTAGATTTTTGCTCAGTCATCTCATAAGACTCTTTTCTTAAGTCCCTCTCCCCTAGTTCTTTCCTTCTTTCCTTAAACCTGTTAACCAGGGAGTTCCCTTTTTAATTACACAACTTACAACGGGCACATACTCTTTCACTAGGACGTGTCAGTATGTCACGCCCAGTGGACGTATTTTTATATTATTATTTTTTTAATTTATACTTAATTAAAATAAATGAAATATATATTTTTAGTTTATTTATATATAAAGCACGAAGGAAAATACAAAATTACAAACAAATAGAAAAGAATACCTACAAAAAAATGGAAACATCAAATTAAAAAATTATAAATTTTACAAACAATTATAAAGATTACAAAATATATATATTTTTATTTCTATACACAATAAAAAATATAAAAAGTTAACAATTATAGAATAAACAAAAGCACACAAATAAAATAGAAATATTGAGTTTAAAAATTGAAATATAGATGTAAAAATTCAAAACTCAACTTCCGTGTGATATATTTTAAAACAATTGTTGATACATAGTGCTACCTTACAATCCGGACACCAGTATGTAGATTTTTTCCTAACACCTTTTTTGTAGCAAACGCGGCATTTCCTGGATTTAGTTTTTCTTATATCGCTTTTCATTTGTTCTGGAAAATGCCTTTCAACTAAGCGTGATGGTTTAGATGTAGAGCTGCTTGTTGATGTCTTAAGGTGGATTTTCACTATGTTGTTATCTACCAATTTCTCTACACACTCTATCAAAAAGTATAATCGATCCAAATGACCTTTATCTTTTTTGTATATAATATATGCATTGAAGCAGCACATATCAATTAATCGTAGAAAAATTTTTTTATAAAATTTTTTTACCCTATTACGGGCAGCCGTGTAGGCCACCATAACTCCATCTCCCAAATCTACACCGCCCATTTTCCTTGTTATAATCCAGGACAACATTCGGTTTTTCTTGCCTTCTTCCTCTCTTTTCAATCATTGTCTTTTCGTGATTATGAATAGAACTGAATATCAATACGTCTTTTTTATCCTTCCATTTTAAAACCATAAGTTTGTCTTTGATTCTTACTATATGTTCATTTTTCTGTAAATTTTTTTGTTTTTATTTCACTGGGGATTCCGACTCTGTTTATCCTCATTGTTTCAATAATGTCTGTATTGTTTTGACACAAGAGTTCAGCCAAATGAATTGACATATAGAAATTATCTAAGTAAATCCTACATCCTTTATTCAGTAAGTCATGTGTTAACTCCAAAACAATTCTTGTTGATTATTTTTCTTGTGGGTAGTTCGAACCATAATTTGTGTCCTTGCCTGTGTATAAAATTATATTTTGTAGGTATCCAGATTGGCTTTCACTCAAAATAAACAACTTTATTCTAAATCTAGCT